AGTGAAGCTTATCTTGTTTTCCGCAGGCGCGCATTTTTGTTGATTATGACAGTGCTTTCTATCTTTTTTTTTTTCCGTAGCAGCAACAAGGCCTTCTGTTCCTCTGTGTTTGCGGCAAAATTTAGGCAGGTATTGCGGGAAAACATAATCCTTGAAGCCACAAACTAGCCGGCACTGCAAACGATCAGCCCTGATTACTTCGAATATTTGCATGTTCCTTGCATCCTACTTTTTAGTGCTATTAAGGGGGCGGACTGGTTTTGGGACCGATAAGTAACAAAAATAATCATTTTTTATAATTGACATATTTGGTTCCTGCAAGTATTTTTCCATCTCTACTGCAAACTTTCACCCACCAGGAAGAGGTCAGTCTTGTCATTCTGACTGTCCAGATTCTTGGCGCTAGGACAATGCAGAACCTGAGAAAAATGGGAACCTACTTTGAGGCTTCTTTGTAAGTTGCCAGTACCTGTGTCCGAAGCTCTACTACCAATTTATGAGTGCTTTTATGAGCATTGCAAAACATGCACATCGCAGGGATTTCACTCCTGCACCAACTGCGCTGAAGTGTGCCAAATCAGATTTACTGTGCCATCCTGATAATATCAACGAAAATTGCATTAAACTGCGCCAAAGTCGGATTTCAGAGCGTCTATCACTGGCAATAGCTATGCTGGCACTCAAAACATGTGTGTCTTGTTCTCGGGGCCACCAAAGTCACAATCGCGTGCCTAAAATTATTCCACTGAATTAACTGTGGCTTAGGGAAGGGAGCTTTGGCTTCTCGCCCACGTGGTACGATAGTCAATACTGCTAGCTAATACATCGTCGACGGCCGAGACGCCCATCAAAATAAAAAAAATCACTTTTGGCTAACTCGTGCATCGCAAGATAAAAAAAAAAGTGAGGGAAGCAACATGCAACACCTTGACGCCACGATCTTCCTGGTTGTGCCACGTGCTGTGCAGAGCCTTAGGCCTAATGAGTCGCTTGGCAACAACCGGCATCCACACAGCACCCAGCCTAGGCGCAGAAGAGGCAGCAGCGAGGAGACATCTACTCTGTGAGGTGGCCCTATCGCTCGCCGCACACAGCAGCTTACTGAGCGATCGGCGTCCACCGCCCCGAGTGGTGTCACGTTGCCCCGGCGTCGAGCCGCAATACAAGACAGCAACTGACGCCCGGCTCCCTGAGTCCAAAAGAGATAGAAGCTATTTACAGACCATCGGACCACCCACGAGGCTTCCGTACTCACTCGCTTCGGGCCTAGCCTACGATCCATGTGCTCTAGGCCTTACTCACCCCAGGATGCAGACTGCATGGCTCTCGTGCCAATGGAACAACGTTCTTTAAAAAACGAATCAAACAACAAAAAAAACCACTTGCGAGCAAAAAAAATAAATACTCATCCTGTCGACAAGTTCAAACACGTCACAAAACGATTTCCTTGCTTCTCAACAAAGCACACTGCTGACGCTAGCAATGAAGTCACCCCTAGGCCTATTCCTCCTCAGCTCTATCAAAAGCTTGTACCGAACCGCGAAAACTGTCGGCCCGATACTCCAAGAGCCCCACGTTGGGCGCCACTGTGGGGTCTTGAAATGGCGAGCGAGCGCCACGCTTTTGGAGTGAAAGGACACAGCAGACGCGGTCGGTACAAACCAAAGAACACATATACATTTATTTACCTAATTTCAGAACGACGATATCGACCGCCGAATCGATACATCAAACGTTACGAACACACTAGGCCATCTGCTCCATAACATTACCATACACTCCATGACAAACACAATAACACGACAAACACACGGTAACCTGACAAAACACAATAACACACCCAAGGCGGCGTCGCCAACGCTTGACTTACCACAAGGGCCCCGATGCGCAAGCCCGCGGTGCCACGCGCCGAGGATCCACACTAGAGACAACAGTTCGTGGCAAGCACCACGGCAGAAGAGGCTCACTCAACATCTCGCCCGCCACCAAAGCTTGCCTTCCGCCAGGGGTCACCGCCGGCACTACACCATGATGATGATAGTGGTGCTCAACACGAACACGCCACCTACCGCCCGGTGGTTGTAACCCGAAATGCGACTTTTGGGCGAGAGACGTGCGCCACGCAGCGCAAACAACTTTACAGGGGGTGTCAGCACCCCCACAACGTTTGCCAGAATCAGAGAAGAGAGAAAGCAGCTGTAGTGTGCGACTAATATTTGTAACTCCACTCTTAAGGGGGGACACGGGTTGTGGAGACCGAAAAACCGCAAAATAACGCGTTTTTTTTTTGTTGCATTTTTGAAATCTACAGCTACTAGTGCACTTACATCGTGAATTTCATGCCTATAATATCATTATTTTAGCCACTAAGCCCCTTCATACGGCGCTTTCTAGCTAAATCTGAGCCGAAATAGACAGTTGAAATTGCACATTTTTCGTGACGCACCCCTGCCCTTTCATGTGTGCCAGCGGCGGCCCGCTTGGTCTCATTTGAGAGAGCTGTTTTTCGCCTTCAAATTCCCGCCAGAATGGGTCCGTTCAACCATTGGCAGATTATAAATGAGCGGCAAAAAGAAGTATCAGAGCGCCTTCCTATTCGCTACTTCGCGCACGTGAGTTGAGCTTAGCCTCCCTATTGGTGGAGGCTCCTAGCTTCGTCTGCTCTGGGTATTGAGGCGCGCGTCCATGCGCGCCATTTTGCCTCAGCATCAGTGGAGAAGCTTCACGACGTCAAATCCTGAGCTGCAAATTACGCTCGCGGCACAAGTTTGGTGCAAGAAAAGGTGCGAAGTACGCTAGTAGTGAATTTCAAGAAGTGCTTCCGTGATACAGCAAAACCTCCGAGACGCTACACTCTCCGCGATGCCATGTCGAAGTCGTCGACGCTACCACGGAAGGCCTAGATACCACATCAGTTGTCACGGAGCCTGTGCAAAGTCCGTCAGCCGCAGAGCCTTCGAGCAGCGGTCGCGTGTGTCTAGATACTATCTATTGGCAACAATCTGACTTGGAAAGAGGAGCGAGCTAAAGCTGAAGATAGGTTATCGGAGTTGTCGTCCGCTGCAGCGACGGAGCAGAAACGTGCATTCATGGTTGACGGTGCCGATGAAGCAGCTCGGCCGCCTGATGGAACCACGTTCACAATTATAGATTTGGACGCAATGAACAGCGCTTTGTTGGCAGTTTGCAAAGTGCAAGGCATGCAACGGAGAACTGCAGATTATCCGCAGCGACCGGGAATTCGGACTCACCGTGAAGTTGCGTTTTGTGTGTTTCGACCTGTGGGGAGACTGCGTCATTGTGGAGCTCGCCGCGCGTACATAGCGATGAACACATGAAACCTTTTGCTGTGAAGGTTTTGGCCGCGCATGCCATGAAGGCAACGGGGAACAGACAGACCGCACTGATTGATATGTTCTCGTTGATAGGCATCAGCTGTTGGGGTCTTCACACAAAAACGTGGCAACACTACGTGAAGACGAAGTTGGCACCCGCGGCCGATCGTGCTGCGCGCAATTTGACAAGCGACTGCGCGCGGTTGGTTCGCGAACTTTACGCCGAGCTTAATATAGGCCACACATGGGAAACATCGAGGTGTCATTTGATGGGTCATGGATGACTCGCGGTCATTCGTCGCATACCGGTCTCGGCACCGTCATAGAATTGTTCAGCGGGCTGGTGCTTGACTTCGTTGTTTTGAGCAACTTTTGTGCTGGATGCGAGTCGGGCCCAAAGGAAGGTGACCCTTCTTATGAAGCGTAGAAGGAACATCACCAGTGTCAGAAAAACAGTGACAAGAAGGCTGGGGAAATGGAGGTTGAGGCTGCCCTCATCCTCATCAGGAGGTCAGGAGGTCATTTGAGCGGCACAACCTGCGCTATACCACAGTGCTTTGCGACGGGGACAGCCGCAGTTACCTTGCGCTACAAGAAGATAAGGTTTATGAGTATATCCCAGTGGAAAAAGATGACTGCATTAATCATGTCCAAAAGCGTATGGGCACTGTTTTGCGCAATCTTGATTGCAAAACACAAAGGCCCTGGCCGCAGCCGCATGGCTGAAAAGGATCGACGGCGCACGGCAGCATCAGTCAAGAAGCAACAAGCAACAGAGAACATGCACCAGTCCCTGAAAAAGCGCCACACAGTGACTCATAGTCAAAAGGACTACATGCCCGGTGCATACTGAGCATTTTCAAGTGCAGTTATGTAAATGAATGAGTTTTATTTTTTTTTCTCAGTTTTCTGAAAACATGCTTTTTGGTGACTTTACAAGTTTGTTGGGTCGTTATCTTGCAATCTAGAACAGGTAGAGCAATAATTTTTTCATTAACGTGAAGCCCAATCTGTGTATTACAAAGTGCTGAGAGCAGAATTTCTATTTTCTGTCCATATAAATTTAGAAGGTATTAAATTTCTTCGTATGTGATAGCCATGACATGACTCCTCAACTTTCAACATCTGCAGAATCACTAGTTTTTCTTTAATTTGAAATCTGCTTGCAGCATTGCACTTATTCCTAATTGCACTGTCTAACTATGCAATAATATTTACTTTTTGATAAGTACTTTCTTTTCTATTGTCTTTGAAAACAATAGAGTGGCAGCATTGTGTGTCTTCTAAATTAATTGACCTACAATGAAAATTCTTGCATCTTTGAAATCAGCTGGAGAAACTACATAAGCGTGTTTATTTTCATCGTGTTTGGTCCACAAATACAGAAAATATCTCCACACACCATGTCCCCTCTTAATGGAAGAATTCAAATTTTTCCGGCAGTCGGTGAATTTCGAAAACAAGACACTCCTTTACTGACTACCTGGAAAAGTGTTGTGGGGCCCCTTTAATAGCTGCTGTATTGCTTTGGCGTATTAAACTTGATGAGTCAGTTAAAAAAAAAGTGATTGCTTTACCATGTGACAAAAATGGTCTTGGTTATTTGGGGGTAAGTGGTTGCTGTTAGAAGCCCTCTTTTCACCAAGTTCTATTACACTTTCACAGCAGCATCCCGTTGTCGTGCTGCTGCGGCTGCCTATTCCCAACCAAATGTGAGCCAGGCCTTCTCAGAGTTCCTCCCTTCTCACGTCCTTTCTGGTGCCGCTCCACTGCCAGGAGATGCAAGCCAGTGCCCCACAGGCATTGTGAGAACAGCTCACAGTGACGTCCTCACATCTGCGTTCAGCAGTCCAGGCTGTGTGCCAGCTGCTGAGCAGATGCTTCGGAATCGCACACTTGCAGAGCCCATGGTGATTCCCATCGACGTGGAACCTGTGCCCCTGGCTCAATCTTTGTCCTACGAGTGCCAGCATATGCTGGCGGATGCCGCTTGCGTGGCTGGCTATCGTGCTCGGTGTGGCTGGGGACCACGTTGGACGCTGACTCACGTGGGCAAAGCATTAAACAGAATTCTCGATGATGGTAAGCCTCTAGTTTGCATTCTGGCTTGGGTCATAGCCACACCAATGATCCAATACTTGCACACTCACTGCTGAGTAATGCTTTTGTTATTTTAGGCAGACCTTGGGGGATGTGGGTCCTATGAACCTTTTTTAAGTTTTTGGCTCAATCTGAACTAAACCCCACTATTTGAGGTAGTTTTTCATGCTGATTGCAAATCTGCAATTTGTTTTACTGCGAAAGCTGTTATGAGGTCACTTTTCGGGTCACGCGCCGTTGCATGTTGTTCGCCGCCGTCGCCAGTGTCTGTAACCACATCGCGCGAAATTAGAAAAAAAACCTTGCACCAATGGCACAGTGGGGCTCGGACCCAGGTCCGCTGGGTGCCAGCCCAGTATTCTACCACTGAGCTACACCGGCGTTTGTGACTTGTTGGCAGGCTTGATGTCGGGAAAAACAATCGTGTTAATACGACTTATAAAGCGTTTAAAAACAGCGAAAGAACAACCAGTCATCGCACAATGGGATTAGCATAACGAGTGGGCCGTCCAATGCTCCAACCCATTACAAAAGCTTGTTCTTGTTTCCCTACTGTGGCACATACCCACTACAGCCATAATTCCTCATCGTCATCAGCCACTGCATGGACAATTGGCACAAAATTTCTTGCAAGTGTTTAGCAGTCGCCGACCGATTTTTCGGACTCCATAAAATTCGGACTTGTTGGATAGTTCGGACTTCAAAAGTGCACTATCAGGGTTCCCATAGGGTTAATGCATTTTTTCGACCGATTTTTCGGACGAATTTGCCCCCAGAAGTTGGATTTTTCGGATTCGCCCCCGAAAGTTGGAAGACGCGCAAGACTGGATGCAGCGATTGACAAACAACCAGGAAAATAAAATCGCAGCCATCTTGGCCGCATCAGCCAATGGGAAGCGAGAAACGGAGGGCACGCCTGGCGCATGTGCGTTCCAGCCATTGAGTGATTGGGAAGGAGGCTTCGGAAAAGGGGTGAGGGCAGCCGTTCCGTTCATGTGACACCATTTTGAAGGTTGGCGAAATGCGCACAAAGAAATCGGCTTCAAAACGGCAGCGCCTGTGTGAAGTTCGAACAAATTTTACCTTTCGCGGGGCGTTTCGTGACTCCTGTGGTGACTTTATAACAAATTTTAACCTATTTATTGATGGAATTTAGCGTTCACAATTTCAGAACACGTATGTATAGGAACAAAAATTTTAAAAATTGGACTTTCGAAAAATTGACTTTTTGGTCATTTTTCACAATTTTAGAACCGCATACCCCCTTAATAAATTTCTAGCAATGCATACAATGGAGATGTTAGGAATACTGTTTAAATCTGCAGAGGGGACAGGGGGGTAGGCAGAAATATTCTTCAGGTGGGGCTCCTCCTTGAACAGTAGGGGAGGTGGATGTGGTCCAGTTTCATTTTGTGCTTATATGCCATGGCAAAAAAAAACTATGGAAAGGGGGCATTGGCCCAGTGTGGCAACCCTGGCTACAACACTGAAACGGGGCACTACCACCTATTGCAGTCATGGTAGATCATTCCACACCAAACGTGTTGGGACACTGTACTCAACCATCTTCAGTTATAGAATGATAGCTAAGAACTTCCCGACATTGCCGCAATCGTTCTTGCAAGCTATCTTCTTATGAAAAAAAAAAATTGTCTTAGAACGGTCTGAATATCATAGCTGGAGGCTAAATCTATTCTGCTGAAAAAATTGTGCAGAATACAATACTGTATGAAATGCCTTTAAAAAAAATCTAATCTTGTTGATAGGAAAAACAAAACACGCTTCCTCATTGGAGCCCGTTGGCAGCATCTATTTGGTGTCACGATGTGCTTTTGGGTTAGTTGCATCGCCAATGTTTGGTTGTTTTTAGTTAGTTTTACAAATTTCTTCAGGTCTTTGATGAGGGCGAGTGATAGAGTAGTTTGCTCCCGTGCCATGGGCCACAGATGATGCCCCCCACAGACCCATTATTAGCATTTATACTACCAGCTTCATCTTCGCTCTCTTGTCTTGCAGAATTACTGAATTGATTCTTGCACATATGTTACAAATTGTGCTCGTGAGTGTGAAATAGCAGTGCTCGGAACGCTGTCACCATAGGTCCACAAATTGATGTGCACAGCAGAAGTACTGCCTGGGTAACCCGCACGGTGATCTGTGTTTATGGTGCTCGACTGCTCACCCGCAGGTCACGGAATCGAATCCCAGCCACGGCAGCCCTATTTTCAATCGAGGCAAAAATGCTCAAAACCCGTGTATACAGATCTAGGTGCATGTCAAAGCACCCCAGGTGATCAGAACTTCTGGAGCCATTCACTATGGGGTCTCTTATAATCATTTGGTGGTTTTCGAATATTAAAGGCCAACAATATTACTAAGTATTAAGTCGTTCTCCGACTAGTCATCCTGATGCTTAGGCGTAGCATGTGACTGTCTAAAATACAAGCTCTTTTGGCTAAGTGAATCATTTGTGTGTCAATAAGGTTAAAAAGGGAGCAAGCCAAGTTCACTCTGACAGGTTGCACAACCCTAAATTGCCCTTGGAATTAAGGTGTTCTACGAAACCCGTTAAAACAACTGCATTAATGGTAGAATGAAGTGCCTCAACTAGTCATATCTTTTTTTAGCATACTTTTTTCTCCTTACAGAATGGTAGGGCCCACTTCCATTTCTCGCGCTGCTCCTGGTTACTCGGTAATCCAAACACCGTCTTTTGGTTGTTTACCGATGAACGGAACCGTCCGCCAGCACGTGACGTGTGCACCATGGCATTCTACACCTACCTCATAAACTAGACTATAGGTCAAATGGGAATACAAGTCGACCCTCCAACTTTAGGTGACCAAACGAAATGGGGTGTGTACAGTTTCTTGAAATCTCTGAAAACCCTTGAATTTGAAAAGCAGGTTTTCAAGGCCCTTGAAGATTCTGAAATTTTTTCTCGTCCTTGAGTTTTCTGAGCAGTGCACTCACAGATTGACATTTCAACCTCCTTAATGGGGTAGATCACTGTCGACCTGAGAAACACCCCAGTTCATAAGCAGTAATTTAACATGAGCGCACAAGGTTCTGTTTTTGCGAAACTCCACTGGGAAAAAAAATTCAGTTTGTCTGTCGGTGTAGCGTAGCAATGAATGCTATCTCAATCATTCTTATAATCTCAACCACTCTTGTAAAGCCCGAAACACATGCAGCGTTTTCCCAGCGCCGCTTCCCTTGGTGTCATCGCGTCAATGCCACCAGTGAGGGTGGCAAACTAAATGAAGAGCGCCAAGGCCAGCGTCAGCTCAGCATCGCACAGTTTGTCGAAGAGAGTGAACCCGAGACCTCGCAAAACAGTGTGCAGTGTACATCAATGTAGCAACAAGAAATAACGCTGAAAATCAGTTTCATGTCTCATTCGCAGTTCTGGGGTGAAAAAAACAAATCACAGTACCGCGGAAAAGGTCCTTTTTTTTTGCTTGTAGGGCCAGCTGTTGAGGATAAGAACCAGAAACTCGATATATACGACCCCTGAGCTTGCAAGTTGTTGTGCATCTTTGAGGCCACGTATCGAGCCAATAAACTCAGGCCTGCTAACCCTATCGATGGACTTGAGTATGGAGCTCTAAAACGGTTCTAAGAAATCCCGGCCGCTTCCTGTCATAACGTCTGAAGGACAAGCTATGTCAAATACAATCGTGCCCGCTTATAACAATCCTGAGCCTGACACGGCATCCATTCACTGTATCCTGGAGTTCGTAGTGAATAAAACACAGTTTTAAAAAAATAGCGAGTGAAAACACAAAATTGTTTTCCCACAAAAGTCCGTGATGCACTGGTTCGAAGAGCAGAAGCGATAAGGGCGGTCTCGAGTTTATTTCAAATGGCAGCGTGCTCTTCGCTGAGGCCCGTGGCATAAGCTGCATGAGACACTGGCTCCAAAGTTTCGTCATTCTCGCAATCTGATTCCTCCAAATCGCTCTTGCCACGTACTTAATTCACAATGCCCTGGTCTATGCATGGTTCCGCGGCGTCAGAATTATCATCGGCCATAATTAAACCATCGCAACAGATGTCCCACCCGCTCTGCCTGGTCTTAGTCGACGACGCGCTGCCACAAATCGCCGCCGGAGTGGTTCTGTTTGGAAGCTTGAGGCTCGGCATCGGGCTCAACGTCGGGGAAGTCGGCCTCGCGAAAACAGTTTCGCGCGCATGTAGCCGTCACCGCCCCCCATGAAATATTTACCATCTCCACAGCTGAATATCGGGACGCCTGAAGCACCAAGTTGGTTACCAGGTGGTCAACAGTTATGAGCAAGCGCTCCTCAATGCGTCACCTAACACGCAGATTTAGCCTAAGCCAAGTGGTCACCTGGAGACTGTAAGCCTGGAGACTTACAAAGAGGGTTCAGCTTAAATTGAGGACGACGCAGCGAGCAATGGAAAGAAAAATGGTAGGTGTAACCTTAAGAGACAAGAAGAGAGCAGAGTGGATTAGGGGACAAACGGGGGTTAAGGATATCATAGTTGAAATAAAGAAGAGGAAATGGACATGGGCCGGGCATGTAGCGCGTAGACAGGATAACCGCTGGTCATTAAGGGTAACTAACTGGATTCCCAGAGAAGGGAAGCGGGTTAGGGGGAGACAGAAGGTTAGGTGGGCAGACGAGATTAAGAAGTTTGCGGGTATAAATTGGCAGCAGCAAGCACAGGACCGAGTTAACTGGCGGAACATGGGAGAGGCCTTTGTCCTGCAGTGGACGTAGTCAGGCTGATGATGATGATGATGAAGTGGTCGCACTTTCGACGTTTTGTTGAGCGGCAGGAAAAAGCGTGCAAGGCCTCCCGTCCGCCGTCCTAACCACACACGCACACGGAGAGCGAGCAAGACGCGCACATGCGACACACATGCCAGAACGCGTGGTACAGCTGTGGGCTCGTTTCTAGTCAGAAAAAAAAAAAAAAAAACTTCTGCAAATAAATCTTGCTTTGTGTTGAATCTTTCATTTTATTGTCAAGGTAAGTCTTTATTAGTGTTTCTCAAAGCTTCTCAAATAATCTCGTTTTGTTTTTGCTCTGTACGATCTCGTGAAAATTTTTCTTGCGCAGTTCTCCCACCTTCCACCTTTTCATCTGTTTACCGCAAAAAAAAATAAAGTGCGACAATTATGTGAGCATACCAACAAAGTCTCCTGTATCGACCGGTAGACTCGGATTTTGACCGTTTTTTCCGGTTGTACGGTTGTCATGAAAATCTCCCGGAAATCGAAGTTTCTGTGCGTGATCTGGCTGCATTGACAAAAAGCAGCTCAATCCGCTCCAGGCTTTTCGAACCTAACCCATTTTATTATGAGTTTAAGAGGCGTTCATGTAAACGTACAGCATATCTCAGTAATGCGAAACCGCGGCAGATACGAATTCTTGAAATTTTCCAGCCAAATTTTACTATGTTCATTGGGCCTCAATTCGAATGTTCCAAACACATTTCCTAATCGCTGCGGGCAATACGAACTTTAGTACGGAACCGTCGAACGAAGGCCGAGAGCAGCGTACTCGAAGCTTCAAAAGTATGCGTGCGACCGGCGCACGCGCTGTCTTCTACAGTGCATGTGATTGTCGTTGCCACAACCGCTGTGGATGAAACCACGGTCGCTCTTGACACGATCATGTATGGCGACGACGTAACTAACAGAACCCCGAAAGTGTGCGCTCAACAGTCAAAGCATCACTGCTTTCTGCAAACTCAGCAGACAAAACTGCGGCAGATGTTATCGTAGATGGCGTAAAACGACTTAGTTTTATTTACGATAACATCTACGATAACAGTAAAATGACTTAGTTTTAAGTGCATGGGGATTGTAAAATGAACTACCGTTCCGCACCCACCGCGCATAAAGCCGCGGTTCGCGGCGACGCGATAGCGATCAACGAGCTTCGAGGGCATGCAGCGGCAGGCTAAAGGCAGTAAATACGTAAAAAAATTTTAAAATTACAGTTTCGCCGCAAGGGCCAAGCAATAAATGCGACAGCAACAACTTGGAATGTAATGCTGAGAACGGCGAGCAGATCGAAACGTTCAGCGCGCTGCTCACACACAAATGACACACGAAAAGGATACTCGCAGGACGAAAGCGAACTAATAACGTTTACCGCTCGACACGTAAGGCGCTGTTTAAACAAAAACAAACAGGTATAGATGAGTACAAACTAAGAAGTGTCCCATTGTTATACCTCTCTGTGTATGAAAAGCGCGCTGTTTTCACAAAAGGGGCCTGTGCAGAGACCAAAGGGACCTTTGTGGGCCCGGAAATTAACGCTTTCGTTTCAGTGAAAGCCGAAGGCACACGATTCCCCTACCAAAGAATAAGCATGCACGTACAGGCATCCATCCGTGGGGCAAAGTACACGTGCGACATAAGCACGCGTCGGCGCATCGCGACGAGCTTGGCGCCGAGCGCAGGCGGCTTTTAAAGACGATAGTCTTTCTTGGAGACCTTCGACGGAAAATTGTTGTCTGCCCATTTGTCTTTTGTCTGTCTGTCCATCCTTAACGATACCTTAAAGTCTAAATGGCACCTTAAGATAACTCAAACTGCCGACCCCATCCGCAGCGCCCACCAATATTGCTCAAGATTCAGCGTTCATACTTGTGCGATTGTCATTTAAAAAGCAATTATTGCACATATCTGAGGCACTATAACAACACATCAATAGTATGTTGTGTGCCTTTTTACTAGAAAAGGCATACATACATACTATCGTTACCAACTTGCCCAATTTTCAATACTAGTCATACATAAGTAATTCTAAGGACCATAGCGTTTATCACTCTGCGCTGACAATGCAGCGCGTGCACGAAAAGGCGAGTGTTTCCGACGCTTTGCTAAGACGGCACGGTGGTGGCACCTACCTGTCGCCTTGCGTTCTACACCTTATCACCTCCGAGATAGGCGCACACACCGCGTGCGCTTAGTTTTCCAAGATAACTGCCAGATAGCGCTCATGCCTCATGTGTGACGTGACTTGATGCGCTCGTTCGCCTCCGCTGCATGCTCGAGGCACTCTGACGCAGCGCCTCCAGAATATCATTCACCGATTTTCTTGAACATAACATAAAATAAATGTTTTGTTCACTCTTTCCAGAGGCAAGACTATCGTCTTTCGACGACATACAGATACGGAGCTAATTTTTTTTCTTTGAGTGTTCATATGTATAGATATGTATACATATACGGTGAAGGACGGCGGTGGTGGCAACGGCAAAAAAACAGCCGGGACTGTCCATATATTTGCGCCCACCCCCATCCCCCCGTTGCGGAAATCTTCCGGATTCAGAATCCTTGAACTTGGCAGGTATGTGTGAGTAAATGTGGTAGTTCTGCTCCCGAAGCCAATTCACTAAGCACTAGAAGTTCACAAGCTTGCCTTCAAACTCTTCTGGCAACCTTTGGCAGATGGATATGCGCCGATAGAGAGAACATTTTTTGCCTCCATGAATCAATGCATTCATGAGTTTGGTGCATGTAACTCCTTTCTTCTAAGCCCAGCTGCTTCAGCGAGCTCTGTAGCTTTGTTGTGATGGTATCATAGTCACAGACATTGAGGGGCACACAAACTTCCCACACAAAGTCCGCGAGCCTATCCTCCATCTGTGGGTACACTTCACTCCATCCATGAAATGACATTTTCCAGGGTTGCACTTCTGCAGCTTCCCTTTCTGTTCTCTCTAATGGTGCAAGCTTTTTTCTAAAATGGCATAGCGGCACTGAGGGACCATGTTGCTGTTCGTTTCAGTGAACTCAACAAAATTCTGTTCAACACAGGTGAGATATACTTCCTCGTGCCGCTACTTATATTCAATCAGTGTCGTCAATCGGAGCGGAAAATTCAGAACAAATTTGAACATCAGCACAAACACAAAGAAAACAGAGACTAAAAAAAAATGCCTGCTGTTGGATTTGGAATGGAATGCATTCTTGTGTGGCTTTTCACATATATTCTAGCCACATGTTGCCAGACGGCAACATACTGTTAGCTAAACACCGCTGTATAAAACGAAGAGTGACCTTAGCTTTGTTTTACTGAAAATATCTAGACTGTCTTGAGAAATAGCTTAGCAGATGCATGGAAAGCACCTCAACCATTAGCTTGTGTCGCACCACCCTAGCATTTCGGCACCAGGTAAGCGGTGTGCTTTGCGGCACAATGATACCATATTGGGGCGGCGGCATTGGGCTGCATGTAAAAGCGCCACCATGACTGCTTAGTTTCGTGACTAGAAAAGTATGTGACTCTGGCGATTTGTTACAGCCTTTTTTTATTCTATTTCAGAATTATCAAGCACAAAGTTACTAAAGCATAAAATTGGAAGGGTGCAAATATTCTAAATTTTGAATCTATTTGTAATAGTGTTTGCTATTCGAACTTCCCGAAAGCAAATAGAGTCAACGTCCGAATAAAAACGGCCCTTCAAGATATTTATTACTCTTCCCCTCATCACATTCTCGTATTGTGGCGAAAATGCCATTCAGGCTCAGCTACGGTTGCACATTTATTGACTGAAGAATAAAAAATGCTAGTTTCAATGGAGATGATAGATGTGGCAGAAGTAGGGGCCCGATCAATGCTGTTCTGAACCTGAAATTTTGTGAAAAATCGGATACCAAAGGTTTTTAGCATCCATAATTTCAGATAGAAATAGCATTTCTGCTTTTCACATGTAACATGTCGGCAACACTTTAGTTGCACTAAATCATGTATGTAAATACAATTCGGCCTTTGCATCGCCTCATTCTTGATAAGACAACTATGAAACACCACCCCACCAGCACTTTAATAACCTAGCTAGAAGAAAGACATGTTCTGAGCATAATAGTGTTTTCATGTATGGCTTTAGCTTGTATAGTTGGTGTTTGAGAAAGAGATGAATAAAAGTCTCTGTCATTGCAGAACCCATGGAGACGGCAGGGCACGTGGGCATTTTTGCGGGACAGCGCTATCCGAAGCCATCCCCTTCATTTTCCATCTCCGTGGAAAGAGTGGCTGTTGACTTGCACACATTGAGACCAGATGATATTCAAAAGGTAGTCCAGCTATTGGTGTGTTTCTGTGCATGCTTTTCACAAGGCTTGTGCAAATAGTAAATTTTAGGTACAAAGCGAATTCGAAGTGAATAGTGATTTTGGTCGAATAAGTTCGAATCGAATTCGAATGGTATGTATGACATATAAAAAAAAAAGGAATATTTATCATGACCTAACTAACATGCACAATATTTCTTTTGAATTGAAATAGGGGCTCTATGCAAATGCAATTTTTTTTTTTCGTTCATAGGTAGTCCAAACAACCTTGTGTAGTAGTTTCAGTAGGATGCGAGTAATAACCTGTAAGGTACTTAAGATATTAAAATTTATTATAATTGGAGCATATAAGCTGTCATAGCAAGCTTGATAAAAGGAAGAATTGATATGAGGGTTCCTTTAAAGGTGCCCTGCAACACTTTTTCAAGCAGCCATAGAGCTTGCTTGTTGTCTCACAAATTTACCGCCGCAGAGTTTCTAGGATCAGTCCAGTGCGAGCGGAGTTCCAAAAATTTGTCGCACGCTGCAATTGCATTCTCTCTTTACGTCCGGATAAAATAGTTGAAAGTTGAGCAGGAAGAAATGACACAGCGAAAGAAAATAGTCACACGCACCTCGTGACGTTGAGCACCTCTTTTTTGTTTTTTCTTCGAATATGCGGCTTTTCAGTGCAATTGTGCACGTACTCGTGGACAAGCGGCGGCCTCCCGTGGCGGTCCCGGTAACGGCGAGTGCGCCATGCTCAAATCAGTCAATGGCTGTGACTTGAGCTGTATATTCCTTTTGGCTGTGACGAGTGATTTTTGAACTTGTAGTGTCATTTGCTGATGGAAGAAAGCAGTTTTTAGCTTTGAAAATTTATTGTTCTGTATTACAGGATGCGTGCTGCGCTATAATATTTGCCTCGCGTGCTGTCAGTAGCCTCCAATACTGGTTGGTATCGTTTTCTGTCCATGCTCAGTAAGTTATGCAGGGCCCCTTTAAATTTGAAGGGGGGCTTCACGGCAAAGCGAATTTCCTCTAGATAGATGTCACTACCTTTACAGGCGGTGACATGCGGACTATAACACGTCTATTCGTTCATTGCGAGTACTTCAAAAATACTCGATAATAGAAATTCAAATCGAAGCAAATTTGAATACACAAATATTAGTTCGAATATTCAAAGCATTTGAATATTTGCACAAGCCTACTTTTCACAGACAAAATCGAGTATTATTGGAAATCCTACTTGTATTGATAACCATCTCCATATTGTGCATTTTTAAGTTGCCTATGGGGGGGGACAGCCACTTAAAAAAAGAAATCTTTATTTATGGGTGAATTTTGATCAAACTTCCATCCTTTATGTATTTTGACATGTTGATTTCAAATATGCAATTGCTTTTTCTGTGCAACAAGTACTTTGCAAAATATTGAGAAATTCATGTTTTTGCATTGACTAATTTGGAGGTGACTTTTCTCTTGAATGCTGGTAGTGATCAAAGACAGTGGCATATGAAAATGATGTTGTACAGTGAGAGTTTGCCGTGCTACAAGAATGAAAGCTCTCGACTGATTTGTGCCAAAGTTACAGCATGTCGAATGTTCGTAAGCAAAATGCTTTGATAACACCTTGGAGAAATTATTATTTTTTGAAAACATCTCTGATGTTATTTGTTCAAATCTTACACCTACTGCACTCCCTATTTGTCCCCTTTTCTAACAAAACAAGAATCGCTGCGTTAGGATAAGTACCACAAGAGATATCGTCACTCCAAGACTACACCATGATGAAAAACGCAATTTTGAGAAAACCAGAAAAAACATTTCAGGACAAGTTAGAAATAATTATGGAAATATCTTGAACACTACAGTGGCCGAGGATGATGTACGGGTACAATCAGGCAAGAATGATTATTTCACAGCCAACTCGAATACGATTAGGGCATCTAAAATTTTATTTCTAAAACCCAATTAAAACTTTAAAAAGATTATTTTTATAAATGTTCTTTAATAATATGTAACAATGTATTAGTCCTACTGCACTTGTCAATTCACCACCTTTTTGACAAAAAAAAGAATGAGTGAGATATATTGTTGCTCCAATATCACACCACGTAAAATGCCACTTTGGGGAACCAGCTAAAAAAAAATTGCCGTGTTATTGTGCAGCCCTGCCACGACAGTTCCATCGACGCAAAAATATTGTTAATATATGTTTCGTCGCTACCACTACAGAGCATTGCACGCGTGGATAAAATTTTTATCTCGAATGCATTGCAGGACTTTTCACCATTGGCTCTGCGCGTGTTCCATGCCGTCATCACTTCGCCACAACAGCCACACTTCACTATCAATTTCTTAGCGAGGCCGTAGTCGCGGTCACCCGTGACTAGTTTCGCACACCCGCCACATACAGTGAAATCTCGGTATAACAAACTTCAGGGGGCTGTGGCAAATTGTTTATTATTTTGAAAGGTTGTTATAGTGAAAGCCCAGAATTAACCACAAATACTAATCTTCCACCGACCAAAACGACTTAGCTTTACAACGGTGGGTCCTTGAACTCGTTTTTCACCAGAAAAAACAAATGCACAAGTGAACACCAAAATATGCATAATTACTTTAAAGAAGTCAGTTTTTTTTTTTTTACGTGTGCAGCACAAACTTTGCAGCACGAAAGCCTCCAGCTCGTCCACATTCCTGTGGTGTGATTCGGTTCTTCGGTCACAACAGCCTGCTTTTTTGCTTTTGCCTTCCAGTTGCTGAAGAATATCCACTTTCTTACTTAGCGAAAACTGCTTCCGCTTCTTTCTCGCAAGCAGAGATGAACTCATTTGTAGTAGCACCGCAGGGCGAACGCCGACTTGCTTTGTGGACGCGATAATTAATCACCGAAAAGAGATGAAAACGACTGACAAAGAAGGCCTCGTAGATCACATGTAGAAGTGACGAAGAAAAACCCGAAGTGTCACAGCTGTCATCGCCTCTTCCAAAGAAAAGAAAGAGCTAAATAAGAAAACTCCTCTCGCTTCATTTTTTCTTCCTCACTGTCTCAAGTTTTCCGCGCCCATGCTTCCTGCTCTGCAACTCCCACTCTGTCTCGCTGACCTTGCCCTCCCGTGTTGCCCTTGCCGCTCACCTCTGCGCTTGTAAACCTGCAGTGTTGGGGGTTTCAACAAAAAAAAAAAGAAAAGAAAGTCACCCTTTCGTTTTTTTTCCCCTCCGCACCGTCACGCATCTTCCGAGAAGCAAGGCGCTCGTTAGCTTTGTTGTCTGCTTGTGTACCGCTCCGGTGGTCGCAATGAATTTCAGAACATGAGTTCGTAGTACTGAGGCATTGTTAATATAATGCGGAACTAAACTAACGCTCATTATTCTGAAAATTTCGGTATTCTGAAGTACGTAGTAGTGAAATTATTTCACACTGAAACTATTAGCAGTCGTTACAAGATTTTTAAAAGTTTTTTAATCTGAAAAGTTCGTTAATGTGGGATTGGTTCTACTGAGATTTCACTGTACTTTGCACCACACTTTGCACGGTAGGGAATTAACGATCAGCCCATTCAGGATCTCCAAGTCAACCATCAAATATGAAGTTGCATTGTCTGCGGCAGAGGCCAATATGATGCGTCGCTTGCATCGGTGAAAACCGCAGTCTTTCGCGCTGTGGCCGGTGTAGACTCAAGTCGCTCAGGCATGACCTGCTCACGAGCACTCACTTGGGCTTTGTCGCTGCTCTTGACAGCATCAGTGTCAACTCGCACTAGGCTAGAGTCGGCGCAAAGAATGCCGTTGTTCTCAGGCGGATCACTGTCAGTTTCATCGTCGCGGGTCGCTTGCTTATCGCTTGTAAAGCCGGACGACGGTGTGCCCTTATCTTGTGGACCGCTATTACCTGCGCCGACGATGTCGGATGCCCCGGCACCGCGAGTAGCTTGCCCATCGGTTGCAGAGTGGCGCAATACCGTGCCTTTGCGGAGCGAACTTCAATCACCTCAATCGCCGTTATTGGGTGTCGAAGCAACGACGCATGCTTGCTGATCGCTAGCAGAAACCTGTCATGTCATACCGTGAGCACTTTTTTTTTTTTTTTTTTCATTTTGGCTCGCCTTTGGTTGATCTGATACTCCGAGTGGAACTTTCTCGGTCCTCCAAGCACGTTCGTCATAGGATCGTAACCCAAGCCAAAATGGCGTCTCAACGAGCCAGGCTTTCAAATACAACGCCCTATGCCGATCAGACGACAGCATTTTAGCCACATGATCAGAAGTGGCCAATGACAACATCTTACGTCTACTTTCTTTTTCTTTTTATTTGAGAAAAAGGCAAGCTCTGTGTTACCTGACCGAGTGATAAAAAAAAGCCAAGCCAAATGCGAGAGCTTTTCAACGATACCAAATGGCTGCGTTGGAGCAGGTCATTCGAGAGTTACAGGCAGCTGAAATAAGCACGATTTGCCACAATTTAAAGAGCTGGGGACATGCAAACGCATTTTTCATTTACTGTTACGCCGCTAATACATGGAATTTTGAAACAAGAACTTGCACACAGGTGCGCGATGGTAGAAGGAATACGAAAATGACACTTTTGAAATTTTCGATTTTTTGGGCAAATTTTTGGGTCCCAAGAGCAGTGTCTCACCTTAACGATAAAGCTCACAGGGTTCTTTATTTGTTCGCATAAGATGACTCAAAGGCATTAGTCTTCTGGTGCGACTTTTCCTTCATGCTTTTTCTATCATGCGAATGCCACAAAGGTGAAGTGAACTTGCAACTTGCATGTCTGATGCCATGAAAGCAACGGCTGCTCATGCATCATTTTCAGACCATGTTTAGAAGCTTGTTATACCAGCTTATCATGCCAGCTTATATACTCAAAGTATGGTAAACTTCAAACCAACATTTTTGACAGGTTATCACTTGTAGTCTACTAAAAGTCTAATTCTGTTACTACAGTAAAAACTGAGTATAACAAACTTCATGGGGCTGCGGCAATTCTTTATTTCGAAAGGTCATTATAGTGAAAGCCAAAATATTAACCATAAATACTTATTTTCCACCGCCGACCAAAACGACTTACCTTTAAAACGGTGGGTCCTTGAACTCGTGTTTCACGAGAAAAAACAAATGCACAAGTGAACACTAAAAAAATGCACATTTACTTAAAGAAGTCTGTGTTTTTTTTTATGTGTGCAGAACAAACTTTGCAGCGCGAAGGCCTCGAGCTCATCTACATTCCTGTGGTGCCACCCACTTTCTCGCTTTGCAGAACTGCTTTAGCTTTTTCGTCGCAAGCAGAGATGAACTCATTTGTAGCAGCTCTGCAGTGCGAACACCGATCTGCTTTGCGGACGCAATAAGCAATTACTGAAAAGAGGTGAACCCGACTGACAAAGCCTCCTGGAGCACATGTAGAAGTGACAAAGATAAGAAAATCCCGAAGTTTATGGCTGTCATCGCCTTTTCCAAAGAAAAGAAAGAGCTAAAAAAAAAATAAATTCCTCGCGTTTCGTATTCTGCTCTCTCGCTGTCTCGGGTTTTTCGCTCCCATGCTTCCTGCTCCGCAACTCCCACTCGGCCACCGACCTTGCCCTCCCGTGTCACCCTCGCCCCTCTCCTCGGCACTTCTAAACCTGCAGCATCGGCGTTTCAACAAAAAGAAAGAAAAGAAAGTCATCTTTTCATTTTTTTTCCACCTTTGCATCATCACACGTGTTCCAAGAAGCAAGGCGTCCGTTCACTGTGTCGTCTGATTGCGTACCGCTCCGGTGGTCGCTACGGATTTCAGAACATGAGTTCGCTGTACTGAGGTGTTGTTAATATAATGTGGAACTAAATTAGCACTCGTTATTCTGAAAAGTTTGGTATTCTGAAGTACGTATTAGTGAAATAATTTTACATTGAAACTATTAGCAGTCTGTGCGGATTTTTCAAAAGTTCAATAGTCGGAAAAGTTCATTAATGTGTGGTTCGTTCTGCCGAGATTTCACTGTATTGAAAGTTGCTTGCACTTTCTTTGAACCAAAAGGAAGAACATTTGCACTTGCCTTGTTTCAAAGAAAAAAAATTGTTAAGGTTTGTTGTGTCGTGTCAAATACACTCATATTTATTCGAAATTATTCTATCAAGCCACTATATGCTTTGAATCCTAAATTTACTGTTCACACTAACCTTGTGCTCACCTTTCTCTTTGGCGTGATTGCAGAAAAACGTGGTAGCCATGTTGGAAATCCAACTGGTACATTCGTGCTGTTCACTGGAAGGGGGCAGCCCTATCTTTGCACCGAACCCTAGTGTGGACTGCTTGCATGACCAGGATGCCCTTGTTGCAAGGCTTGCAACTGAAATGGGTGAGCACCTCGAATTTGTCTTTTCATTGGCCAGCCTTCAAAGGAAAGAAATTAATTCAAAGGCACTGCTAGATTTGCTGAGTAAAAAAACAATGCATGTTAATCACGCTGTGCAAGTTTGTTCTATGTGCCAATTGTAACACTATGCCTAAATGCCCATGCAGAACCACCGCAGCTGTAGTAAAACCATGGTAAGCCGCCGCTGCTCTCATTCATCAAAGCGCTCATTATGAGTCTTAGCCACGGAGTAAGACAAGACAAGAGCGCCAACTTTGCTCGTCTGGAAGGGAAACATTCTACAACGCCTAGTTTTGCTTTACAGCGTGTTTGCCAGATGGTGCTATGAGTAAAAAAAGAAAAGCTCAAGTTCCTGAAAAATAACTAAAGTAGCACCATTCGTCTCAGTGCACAGGCACTCACTCTTTTTGGGCTTTTCAGATTGCAAATTAACTTACTTAAAGTGTCAAGCTTGTGAAACATGGCTCTTATCTGAAAAGGGAGTTTTAGAAAAATAAGTATTAATTCATCTTTTATGCTGCCAAGGTAGCATTGGCAGGATGAGTTCATAATTTTGCTTGTTTCTCGATTTAGTCGATGCAACTGCACGCGAAGTTCAGTCATCAGATTACTAGAGTGCACCACATTCGTCATGAACATCGCAGATGCGCGTCTCTGACCTGTAATAGAGTTGTCTTGTTGGGCTTGCTCTTAAAAAGGTTAGTTATCAGCACTTCGGAGCTTGTGACGAAAACCACTGTAGGACAACTCTTTTACACTCGTAATCGAGCAAGAGGTACATTTAAACCTCGTTATAATGAGACGGTCAATAACAAAATTATGGATATAACAAGCAAATCTTAAATCTGCTTGAAAGTCCCCATAGAAACCAATGTATTCAAAACCTTATTTTAACGTGGCTAAATATGCGGCTTATGGGATATAGTGAACAAATTTTGCTGGGAAATTTGATGTCATGACAGTGCACAATGTGAATTTGAAATGGTGCGCAATGCGGCAGCTGCATTTAGCTGTTGAAAACTCCCGCAGCGCATCCTCCAGCAACGCGTCCAAAGCTGATGGTGTCCGCTGTTTCTTTTGCACGTGCGCCGCTTGGCTACCGCCAGGCGCGGACTCTGCACTGCGCGAACGATTGCCTTTTTCTATCTTCTTTATATTGCCCCTCTCTCCTTCCTCATGGCGCTGAGTTGGGCTTCCTAAAGGGCTGCAGAAAAAATCGCCCATTCCTACCTTCCCCTCGGTGCGTATGACCACGGCGCACCTGCCTGCAACCACTGCAAGTGTTACCACTCACCGAGGTGAGCCACGTGTTTGCGTGTGTGTGTGCGTTTTTTTAATAGTATTAGTGCCTCCGCCTTAACTCTATTATCGTGCTGCGCTCGGGACTCCAGCAACATGAATGCACAAGATAGGAAGCAAAAGCGTACAATACTGGATCAAAAGGCGGCTATGATAAAAGCCAGCGAATCAAGGACCTGGAAGAGCAAAGTGACAAGAGACGCTGACATTTTTGCAAGATGGCTTTGCGTATAGGATGAAAAGCTGGCAAAGGCGAACTGCAACGTTTGCCTTGTTTTAGATAACTGCACCATCCACCATACCACTGCCGTGCTCCAAAACATTGGGCGGATGTTCCTGCCTGCCTGGCAACTGCTCAGTAATAATACAGCCACTTGACCAAGGTGTCATTATCATGCTGAAGGCCAGTTAATGCACGCACTTGATTGACAGGCACCTGCTCAATATCAGGATGAAGTGGGACGCCAATGTTGACTTGTAAGCTGCACTTGAATTTCTTCCAGTGGTGTGTATAAGTGTGACGGCATGCACGATTACAAATCGTTTTCGACACGCCTTATTTGCTGCTGTGCCAGACAGTTTCGCCGCATCAGGCGAAATCGCAGCATCATGAATAGCACTTGGTGGTGCAGTGTCGTGCCTGACAGCAAGTCGTTTTGCAACTGTGTAAGTGTGTATTCTAGAGTGGTGGCTACTGGAACGGCTCCGAAATGACAACATTGTGCATGCTGCCAACGATTCGGATGAGACCAGCGGCAATGAATCTGTCAACAAATGGGGACCATGACGACATCGGAGGCATTAGACGCGGTGGACGTGCTGCGCTGCTACATCAGTGCTTACGAGGGCGACGAAGTTGGCTTGAACATTGGGGCTGCAGCTGGGCGAACCATCGTCTGCATCAGGAATACACGTCAGAGTCCAATTGCGGACTTTATTGCAGCTAAGTCTGTTTTAAATGCGAGCTGTGGATTTTGATATGCAATGAAATATGTGTGTGACATTTCCTTTTTATTTGCAGAATGAGATTATTTTGTTGCGTACCGCTGTGCGGCGAGATGCTATTTCGCCTGCTATTTGCAGAAATCTCATTCCTACGCCAACTGCGCCAACCTGACAAAATCTGCGTAAATTGGCCAAACTGCGCCAAACCGTCTATCTCAGGGGTCCGCAACCTGTGGCCCGCGGGCCGCATGCGGCTAGCAGCGTAGCCTCATGCGGCTTCCGGAACGGCGTCAGAAATATTGAAATCACTAGACACTGTAATTTTGGCAGTATTTAAATAATAATAATTAATGGTTTAATTACAGGAGACAGCAGTCGAGTCTAATGAGACAAATATTTACCTTCCTGCGAACAGGCCGTTGCCAAAACAGGCCGCTTTCACAAGAAGCCGCTTTCAGAAATTGGCCGCCAGTACTTCTGCGGAGTAATAAATATCAACCTCATTCTGCGGCGGGACTGCAACCAAAGCTCCGATGAGAGCAACAAGGCTCAAAATATGTCACTCTTCACGACGGTGATTGCAATAGTGTTAGTACTGCATATGTTTGCTCACGTATGCCAATGCCATTTATATGTACTCTAATCGCAAACGAAACCTGTTTACAAACAAAACCCGGTTGCAGCAAGGAATACTCTATTTACTCGCATAATGAACACACTTTTTTTCTCGAAAAATCGTAGTAAAGTTTGGGGTGTGCTTATTATACGGGGCAGCTTTTATGAAACTTTTTCGGCATGTGTAAAAAATGCTTTAATGCAAAAAAAGTTATGTCTTAGCTTTTCGCATACGCGTAGACTGTTTGGAAACAGGTTCTTTGTTGTACTTTACTCATCTTCGGTAGTTGATGGCACTATCTTCTGCAAGCTGTTCTCGCGCATGCCGTATAAAGTGTTTTGCGGCTATCTCTTCTCGCAATCGTTTAACCGCAACAGTGGTATCTGCATGTTGTGATCTCGAGGGGCGCCCAGAAGCGTGCGCTACGACGCACTTTGCCAACTTCACGGCAACCTCGCCCGACGATCCTGTTGTCATTGTAGCAAGTAATAAACATTGCAGAAAGCTTACCTCGAAACATCAAAACAGCTCGTCGATAACAATATTAACAACAAAATACGGACGTCGCCTCAATTCCGCTTGAGAAGTTCCTGTACGCGCATCAAACAAGCGAGGCAAGTATCGGGGATGCTACCGTGTTGTGGAAATCATCACAATCTTTTCTGGGTGACAAGCGATTTTTTCTGGTTTTCCAGAAACCTGAGACATGACAGTGACGAATGACCCTTTGTGACAGGAAATCCTGCCGTCGCTCGAAAATAGCATGCACGTCATTGGGCCTTAAAGTTTTGTATTTGCACAAAGCATTCGTCGGTCCACGTGGGCAGATTCATAACCTGCGCTCGCCATGTGCTTATCAGCTGCGATGTCTCTACACTCGCATTCGTGAACGCCGCTGTGGCGCACAGATAAAAAAGACTGGGGACGTGCCGCACACCGATAGAAAGAAAAACAATACGGCATGCGGCAATGAGTAAAGCGGGGAAGGAAGCGAGCCGAGGGGGGTCGGCATAATTAAAAAACAGAAGAGATACACGAGACAGACGGTGCGATTTTCTGTGTAGTGAGGCGTGTGAGGATGCGGCAGCCGGAGTGGTGACGTTTCGTGACGTATCATCGCATCGCACCGCTACATAGCCGGTGCGGCGAACATTAAATCGGCCAGATATTTTCATCGCCACATTGCACCACCACATGGCAGCAGCCAATCACAGCGCGAGCAGACGAGTGGCGCAACTCCCTGTCGCCGCTCCAATCACCCATGGTTCAAGCAAGTCTATGGAGCGGTGCGAGCATGGATTTGCTGTCATCGCCGACTGGGGCGGCGTGACAAACATCGTGTACATTTCCCTGGTGAAGTGATATTATTCCAGATTGAATAAAGTGGTGTTTGAAGTGTGCCATTTCTGCACGACAATGCCCGTTTTCAAACCGCTAGTGATATCGGAGATCGTGAGCAGCGATGTAAGGCCATTTCGCAGGTTAACACGACTAGCAGTGTCTCTGCACTGGCTCGCTTCGCTTCCACCTTTGCTCTTCAAATCGATGGCATCGATAAAGTAGTAGCATATGCTAACGCATTACTTGCGAGTGCAAAGCTTAATATTGTTGTAAAAAACAAGCGCTCGATGAAGAGCTCGCGTATGAACGGCGTAGGCGACGGCTCCCCTTTATAATGAATTTTTCTTAGAATTTATCAATTTCGTTATATCCAGGTTTAACTAAGTACGCCTCCCCTTCAACTTATTTATAACGAGGTTGGACTGTATACCTATGCTGAAGGGCTCCTAATAGTAAGATTACCTGCTCCACAACTAAATTTGTACTTCTGTAAAATGCTTCTAATAGTAAAATTACCTGCTAGAAAATGCTCCAGAACTAAAATTTACTGCTCCAAAATGCTCCTAATTGCAAGATTGCCTACTCCAAAATGCTCCAAAAGTAAGATTTTAGTGCTCCATGATTCTCCAAAGCTAATATTTTACTGCTTCAAAGTGCTCCAAAATTGAAATTTGACTGCTTCGCAAATTGCTCCAAATCGGTAGTCCCCAGTGAGATCACTGTATTTGTTTTGCATAAAGACAGTGCATAATATTTGCATTAAAAGGTCGCTGCGGCTATA